TTTTGGAAGTAAGAAGGAGGACGGCGAGATCGAAGCATTTATTGCTTTCGGCCTGAGCTTTCCCTTTTGGGAAAAATCCAATAAAAATTTGCCACAATCGTAATTATTACGTGGCATTAGGTGTACAAAATTGATTGGCGCTTTGGATTCTTTTCTAGCGACGTTCAACGTAACAGTCATGCGCGACAGAAAATCCGTGCGTGGGATTGGTGACAGCGCGTGACGTATTCGTCGGAGCGCGGCGCTCGCGTGCGCGAATTGAATCGTTCTAGAACTTTCGATTGTCCGTTGCCGGTAACGACAACTTGTTTGCGTGTTGCGCAAAACGAATTGTTTTTAAAAAGAACAAAGAACGACGAATTTGATGATTTTAACGAGGATTAAAATCATGTTTGAGATGAAATCACGAGCTCAATTTGTGCATGCGTTCAATGACAATTAATGTCGATCGACTGAAAGAATTCTTGCTTTTCTTTCGAATTACCGATCTCGAACAAATATATACTTAAAATAAAGAATGGCCTCCCCATTCATTCTTGTGAGAACGCAACCATATTTTCTTCGTCTTTCCGATTTTAACACAACCTTTAATATTTATTTTGATTGCAACAGAATGAATTTTTAATATTGTATGAATACACTTTTTTTTTGTTTGCGAGAAGGAGAAAAATCTTCACATAACTCCTCATCCTGGATGCTCCCGAAGAAGAGCTTAATGATGAGGGGATGAGGGGAAGACATTCAGGAGTCGGTCTCCTGATTGTGTAGGATTCGATGAGTCTGCGTCCCTCCTATAAGGAAGTGCCTTAAGGGTTGCAGCACAAAAATAAAAAATGCTTGGAAATAATAGCACATAAATCAGAGAATTGTTTTGCATAGTACGAGTATTTAATTTTGCAATTTTAAACGACTTAGGGGTTCTTCTTTCTAAAGAAAAATTGGAAGCTTTTAATGTAAATCATTTTTACAACTCTTTTTATTTAAATTATTTATTCCATCAAAAGTTTTTTGAGAGCAGGCCGCCATGTTCTTTTTCCGAGTCATTAACAAATTGATACTCTGGAATTACAAGCAATTATTTTTCATTATACGGGCTAATATAAATTTGAAATTAGATCTCAATAAACGATTTTTATATTTTGTGCACTAAGAATAACATATCACACTTATTTGCTAGAATCAAATTGTAATTTGTACTCCCAAAAATATAAAAAATGAAAAGATTAAGCCATGTTCAAAAAAAGATCAAAAATTTAAATCTTTAAAAATTTACCGATGATAGATAGTTTCCGTGCGGTACTCGAAAGAATTCTGATTATGTACCTCGGCCTGTGGTTGACAATATTTTCCGATCGGATTGTTCCACTCGATAATTCGAAGAAGAAATATTTGCAAATATTGCATAGTAATTTCGGTGGCGGGCATTGGGTTGCTTGTCATTACACAAAAATTATTATTAAATACCCTTAACATAAAGTGAAAGATTTGTCCCTAGATATCTCTTTATTACGAAAACAGGAATTATGAGAGTTTTTATTTAAAAAAGGAGTCTGTTGTTAATCGTGGCATATGAAATGTAAAGGATAACTATTCTCTAAGAACAGCTCAATAAGAATTCTCAAGTGAATAGCCTCTATGAGATTACACTCATGAAATTTTGGGTGAGACAATAATAAAATTCTATCTATTACACTTATGATAACTCCTCTTTTGTGACACAAAGGGTGGTGGGACTAAAAATTGAAAAATCTCCCCGAACAAATAGGTTCTGAAATCTATTGAAAACAATTCTATTCTTCTCAATATCGTGTCTAAAAAATTCAAAGTATCATAGGTGCTAATTTCGATGGTGAACTGCAATCTAGTATGTAGTGAATTAAAAATGTTTTTTATATCGTTTAAGGTCTCGAAAGGAATTGCCAAAACAATGTCGTTAACGTAACGGTATTAGAACAATGATTGTATAGGCAACATTTCAATCAAGCCGATATTTCTAAGTCCTGTAAATTTCAGCAACCACAGGAGATGTAGGCGATCCCATAGGGATATCAAAAATCTGTTTGTAAAATTTTTTATTAAAAGTAAAAAAACATAGAATCCAGAACAAAATTTACAGCAATGAGGAACTCATTCAATGGTACAGTGGTATTCCTAGGTATGTGGTCCCATTTCCTCTTAATGCTTTTCGATACCGAATCTATGGGAATGTTAGTAAATAATGAGACTACATTCAGAGAGGCTAAAACATAATTAAGTTCCAAACACAGCTCATTTAATTTGTTGACGAAGTGTGTGTGTGTGTGTGTGTGTGTGTATATATTAATTTTTATTATGTTTATTTTTAACAGTGAAGATGACTCGATTAGGCTCGAAACGACATTTGTTATTTATTATTTGCGTTAGATCATGACAATTATATTTGTTTTTTATGTTTATACAATTACTTTGTTGTTATTTGGTTCATAGCTTTTTTAAACTTTTAATTTATATTATTGAATCATGTTATAAGATGCATATTAATTCACGCGGGCTAAATTATGCATCACCATATCTCCCGGTTTTCACTTTTTCTCACATTAGAAATTATTAAGGCTTGAATTCTTGTAATTTATGCAAAAGACTATGCAATTCGGTCAAGCTTAGTGCTAACATCAGAATGCGCATTAAGTTTATCAAATAAAAATATTGCTTTTCGCAATAAGTTTATTACAGTTTTTTAAGATTAATTTGGGAAATTTGGGGGGATTATTAATATTTCAGATTGATTGCGTTGAAAGTCCGACAATCATATCGGCACGCAATTATCATTTCTGAAATTAATTTCATTTATATGAATATACATAATAGTTCAACATCTCAATATTCAGATTGTGGCGCTTCGTATTTAAAGTAACTAATTTTTAAGATTTATAAAATGAGACACATTAAATATTGTTGCATAATAATATAAACACTATCAATTAGAAATTTAAAATGCCTATTATGATCGAAACTGGATCTTCATTGCTTTAAATAATTCAATCATGAATTATTAATATACACTATATATGTATTTGCACATATACCACATTGTATAATAGCTTTTCGAATTGCGCGTCGAATTGCTTTTCCGGACTAAACGCAATTAAACTATTCTAATAATCGTGAATTAAATTGACAAGCAATTTTAATAATTTGATGCTACCATCAAGCATCATATTATAATGATGTTAATATGTTAAAACTGTTAATAAATTTATTTATTGACTTTCTTCCCCCGGCCGAGGTAATATTTTTCGCAATAAATTTATTTCACCGCAGCTTTATCTTCTTTTCAAACACAGCTTAATTTTTCGCACGCAAAGATATTTGTATATACTATATGTATGGTTATAGCAATAATAATTTGAAATATTTTTTTTCATATTCTAATGGAAGTTCTTATTCCACTTAATAAGAGCGCGGTGGTACCGTCGAATGCGGTGATACTGTCGATATGTGATAAGAACACAGTCGGCGCGCGATGCTCGTAATACGATACTGCTGTGGTTGGAAGAAGGATGGAAGAAAGCAAATAAATATTGACAACGAAGTAATCTATATATGTATTGTATATTTATTTATTTATTTATATGTATTTATTTATATATATGTATACATATATATATATATATGTGTATGTATAATTTTTATAAATTTTTATAATCATTAAGCTCTTCGCTGCTACTGCTGCTGCTGCTGCTGCACAAATGACACATCGTCATCAGGATTTTCATCCCTCCTCAGCCGCCTGCCTAATTTTCTATTCACTTTCCTAAAATCTTCGGTGATACTCCTAATCAAGCCTAGGGCGTCCATGAATCGTCATGTAAATGTGTAACAACGTCAACGGTACCGTATCTGGAACAAAAGAATAAAAATATGAAAATGTAAATAAAAAAAGAGATGGCCTAATGGGAATTTACGCTATTATTTTGACGAGAATATCAAATATCGTCCTGAAACTTTTCGTATCGTTTAAAATAACATTGATATAATATTGGTATTATATTGGGTCATCTAAAAAGTATCCGCGGTTTTTTGTCACTAGATGGTGTTGATGGTTAACACATCTAGTGACAAAAAACCGCGGATACTTTTTAAATGACCCAATATAACAAATTGTTTTTTTCCATGTCTCGAAAAATCGAGATAAATATCCGGATGAGAATAAATATAAAATATAAATAAATGACAATGAATACGCACGCATGCATATACAGGGTGATTAAAAATGAATATATTATCCTTGAAATGTCATATTCCTGACTTAATTCTAAGACGATTTTTCCTTTGTCAAAATTTTGTTAAAAACATAATTTTTAAATTATAATAAGAAATAATTAGCGAATGACAGGGCTCGTAGAGAAGGTAGCCATGAGCGGCGTTCTCACTGTCCGACGCAGACCGAACGGGGGACCTTCGTTACGATCAGACGATCGCTACACACGCATGCATATGCGATCGCATTCTCTCTCTCTCTCTCTCTCTCTCTCACACACTTTCAATGATTACTCAAAAAATTTATTACTGTCTCTATCAGTTAAGTGTCCATTTTACTACCGATGGTCCATTTTCACTATTATCAATT